CATGTGCATAACATGCAGGTTTGTTACATATGTATACTTGTGCTATGTTGGTGTGCTGCACCCATCAACTCGTCAGCACCCATCAACTCGTCATTTACATCAGGTATAACTCCCAATGCAATCCCTCCCCCCTCCCCCCTCCCCATCATAGGCCCCGGTGTGTGATGTTCCCCTTCCAGAGTCCAAGTGATCTCATTGTTCAGTTCCCACCGATGAGTGAGAACATGCGGTGTTTGGTTTTCTGTTCTTGTGATAGTTTGCTAAGAATGATGGTTTCCAGCTGCATCCATGTCCCTACAAAGGACACAAACTCATCCTTTTTTATAGCTGCATAGTATTCCATGGTGTATATGTGCCACATTTTCTTAATCCAGTCTGTCACTAATGGACATTTGGGTTGATTCCAAGTCTTTGCTATTGTGAATAGTGCCGCAATAAACATACGTGTGCATGTGTCTTTATAGCAGCATGATTTATAATCCTTTGGGTATATACCTAGTAATGGGATGGCTGGGTCATATGGTACATCTAGTTCTAGATCCTTGAGGAATCGCCATACTGTTTTCCATAATGGTTGAACTAGTTTACAATCCCACGAACAGTATAAAAGTGTTCCTATTTCTCCACATCCTCTGGTACTGGTACCAAAACAGATATAGACCAATGGAACAGAACAGAGTCCTCAGAAATAATACCACACATCTACAGCCATCTGATCTTTGACAAACCTGAGAGAAACAAGAAATGGGGAAAGGATTCCCTATTTAATAAATGGTGCTGGGAAAATTGGCTAGCCATAAGTAGAAAGCTGAAACTGGATCCTTTCCTTACTCCTTATACGAAAATTAATTCAAGATGGATTAGAGACTTAAATGTTAGACCTAATACCATAAAAATCCTAGAGGAAAACCTAGGTAGTACCATTCAGGACATAGGCATGGGCAAAGACTTCATGTCTAAAACACCAAAAGCAACGGCAGCAAAAGCCAAAATTGACAAATGGGATCTCATTAAACTAAAGAGCTTCTGCACAGCAAAAGAAACTACCATCAGAGTGAACAGGCAACCTACAGAATGGGAGAAAATTTTTGCAATCTACTCATCTGACAAAGGGCTAATATACAGAACCTACAAAGAACTCAAACAAATTTACAAGAAAAAAACAAACAACGCCATCAAAAAGTGAGCAAAGGATATGTGCCGCATTTTCTTAATCCAGTCTGTCATTGATGGACATTTGGGTTGGTTCCAAGTCTTTGCTCTTGTGAACAGTGCTGCAATAGACATATGTGTGCATGTGACTTCATAGTAGAATGATTTATAATCCTTTGGGTATATACCCAGTGATGGGATTGCTGTGTCAAATGGTATTTCTGGTTCTCGATCCTTGGGGAATCGCTACACTGTCTTCCACAATGGTTGAACTAATTTACACTCCCACCAATAGTGTAAAAGTATCCCTTTTTCTCTACATCTCTCCAGCATCCGTTGTTTCCTGACTTTTTAATGATCGCTATTCTAACTGGCATGAGTTGGTATCTCATTGTGGTTTTAATTTGCATTTCTCTAATGACCAGTGATGATGAGCTTTTTTTCGTATGTTTGTTGGTCTCATAAATATCTTCTTTTGAGAATTGTCTGTTCATATCCTTAGCCCACTTTTTGATAGGGTTGTTTTTTTCCTGTAAGTTTGTTTAAGTTCCTTGGATTCTGGATATTAGTCCTTTGTCAGATGGATATATTGCAAAAATTTTCTTCCATATTGTCTGTTGCCTGTTCACTCTGATGATAGTTTGTTTTGCTGTACAGAAGCTCTTTAGTTTACTTAGATCCCATTTGTCTATTTTGGCTTTTGTTGCCATTGTTTTTTGTGTTTTAGTCAAGTCTTTGCATATGCCTATGTCCTGAATGGTATTGCCCAGGTTTTCTTCCAGGGTTTTTATGGTTTTAGGTCTTACATTTATGTCTTTAATCCTTCTTGAGTTAAATTTTGTATAAGGTGTAAGGAAGGGGTCCAGTTTCAGTTTTCTGCATATGGCTAGCCAGTTTTCTCAATACCATTTATTAAATAGGGAATCCTTTCCCCATTGCTTGTTTTTGTCAGGTTTGTTAAAGATCAGATGGTTGTAGATGTGTGTTGTTATTTTTGAGGCCTCTGTTCTGTTCCATTGATCTATGTATCTGTTTTGGTATGAGTACCATGCTGTTTTGGTTACTGTAGCATTGTAGTGTGGTTTGAAGTCAGGTAGTGTGACTCCTCCAGCTTTGTTCTTTTTGCTTAGGATTGTCTTGGCTATATGGGCTCTTTTTGGGTTCCAAATGGGATTTAAATTAGTTTTTATTCTAATTTTGTTAAGAAAGTCGATGGTAACTTGATAGGGATAGCATTGAATTTATAAATTACTTTGCGCAGTGTGGCCATTTTCATGATATTGATTACTCTTATCCATGATCATGGAATGTTTTTCCATTTGTTCATGTCCTCTGTTATTTCCTTGAGTAGTGGTTTGTAGTTCTCCTTGAAGAGGTCCTTCATTGTTGTAGTGCTCCTTTAAGCATTTCTTGTAAGTCCAGTCTAGTGGTGAGTAATTCCCCCAGTTTTTTTGTCTGAGAAGGTTTTTATTTCTCCTTCATTTCTAAAGAATAGTGTATTAGCCCATTGTGTTGCTGATAAACACATACTCAAGAATGGGTAATTTATAAACAAAAAAAAAGAGGTTAGCAGACTCACATTTTCATATGGCTATGGAGGTCACACAATCATGGCAGAAAGCAAAAGGCACATCTTACATAGTGGCAGGCAAGAGAAACTGAGAGCCAAGTGAAAGGGCAAGTCCCTTATCAATCCATCAGATCTTGTGAGACTAATTCACTACCACGAGAACAGTATGGGGAAAAAAAATGCCCCCATGATTCACTTATCCTCCATAGAGTCCCTCCTACACACATGGGAATTATGGGATCCATAATTCAAGATGAGATTTGGGTGGGGATACAGTCAAACCATATCAGATAGCTTTGTTGGATACAGTATTCTTAATTGACAGGATTTCTTTGTCCAGTGCCTTTGAATATGTCATCTCATTATTTTCAGTACTGCAGGTCTTATGGGGATTTCTTAAATGCGATTTGGTGAAACTTCAAAAAGTAAAAATCTGTAATTATTAAATTAAGTTCAAGAAATTGCATCTTGCCAGAAACGCAAAATCATTTTATATTATCCTGATATGGTGAAAATGTGCATTTTTTATTACTCAAAAATTTCGTTTAGGGGCATAAATCTTATTGCACACAAACATCTAAGACAGGTTAAATGTTGTTAAGCATAGAAAGGTTTAGCCTATCAAAACATTAGGAAAAGAAAAAAGAGCCAATCCAAATTACCTATTCTAAGACACCATGTATTTGTACATTGGAATGTTTAAAAAGAAAGTGAATTATAGCCCTGAACATCAAAGTCGACAAAGGTCATGGGAAAGTGCAAAGTGCAGGTCATGTAAGAATACAAAATATTGTTTTATTTTTGTAAATTGCCAAGCTATGAAAGCTAACCAAATTGTTTGTGTGTGTCAGGGGTGGGGCATGTCTGTGGGTATGTATGTAAGTGCTGAAACTATGGTAAAAGATGGAAATAAAAAATAGAAAATACAGTTTAAATTTTTTTTTAGGCCAGGCATGGTGGCTCACGCCTGTAATCCCAGCACTTTGGGAGGCCGAGGTGGGCGGATCACGAGGTCAGGAGACCGAGACCATCCTGGCTAATGTGGTGAAACACCATCTCTACTAAAAATACAAAAAAATTAACCAGGCATGGTGGCAGGCGCCTGTAGTCCCAGCTACTCGGGAGGCTGAGGCAGGAGAATGGCGTGAACCCAGGAGGCGGAGCATGCAGTGAGCCAAGATCACACCACTGCACTCCAGCCTGGGCGACAGAACATGACTCCGTTTCAAAAAATAAATAAATAAATAAAATAAAAATAAATAAGTAAAATTTTTTTTTAGTGTGATAGAAAAATGATGGTGTGAGTTAGGAGAAAAAAGAATATTTGGCTGGCAAATTCATCAAAATTACATTTTTTGTAAAAGGAGGTATAATAATATTTTTAAATTTTAACAGCACTGTGGTTACATTGGTTATATTCTACATGTAACAGCACTATGGTTACATTGGTTATATTCTACATTTAACAGCACTGTGTACATTGGTTATATTCTACATATAGAATATATTTGTCCTATTTTGATGTATGACATTTTATATTAGAAATAAAGAACGTTTCTTAAAATGTTAATTATTTGGTAAATTTTGTGATGTGCCTTAATATTTTCCAGCCAAACTGTTTTCTATTGAAATCTGGATTGCATACTTGCACCAGGGAGATTCAAACAATCTGTGCAACCAATGGCCAAACTTATTGCAATGTGTGTATTTTCTGCAGTGAGAAGTAAGAACATTATTGTCAATATATGTTCTTCAAAAGTAATGAAAAGAATCATTGCATAAAGATAGGGAAATTCATGATGCTGATACACTTGGCACAGCACGTAGACAAAATAACTGTAATAACTATAAAAGATGTACGGCAAACACTTGTAGCTTTACCTAAAATTCTCATTTCTGAAAAAGAGTTTTGCATCAGAGCTCTTTACATAATCATGGTGGATATTCTGCAAGTGCATTAGTCAATCAATTTGGGTTAATTAATTTTATTATAATTTATTAATTGCTGACTAAAGATCAATATGATGAAATTCAGGAGCCCTGAGCCTGTACAGTAAACCTCTGTGATGCCACAAAAACCAAGTTTGCAGATCTCCAGTGACAGAAAGTGTAATCGAGTCAGAACCTATAGCTAAACTGAAATTCATCACAATGTGCTCATTCGTGTTTGAAAGGAATTTCTCTGATGGTGTCCTGAACTCTCAGGACAACCTTCCAAATCTTCCTCTGACTGTGGGACATCTAGGACACTTCCACCAAAATCTCTTTCCTCTCTCGTTCACTCTGAAAGAGTTGTTGTTCTGAAGGTTCCTTCAGCCTTCCTGCCCCTATTTCCATTTTTCTTAAGGTGTTTCCTCTCATAAAATCTTTCCACGTCCTTTACTATAATTTCTTTCTGAAGAACCACAAATATAATTATTAATCTTCTCCTTTAAATATGGACAGGTTTCAAAATTGAGTCTGGCCTGAGCAAGTAGGAAGGGTCAACTGTCCCCACAATGGGACAAATGTAGGTGTGGTGAACAGGTGGGTCCCAGCTATTTGTAGAAATGGAGCACAGCCTTGTCCTGTCCCAAGTTCAAATCCTCACTGAGAAGAATTTGGTCCATTTCTCAGAGGAGCTTAACCTGATCTTTTAATAATGCATTTTTCTCTCTTTCTTTCTCTACAGATTTTGTGGTGAAAAACTTAAATTTTATCATTATGGTGTTTGCTGAATTTTGATGGAACTATATAACCATATGACATCAATGTGAGCCCATTTTGCAAAGGATTCTACTATTAGAATTAGTAATTAATCAGAGTCTCAAATTCATAGATGTCCAGGTGAAATCTTCTGTGGAATACAAGATGGAACATAGCATGTTCAAGATTATTTCCAACTATTAAGATTTTTGACTTCGGGATTTTGATTCCTGATGTTCAATTATTCAATAACAGTTTTTAAAATATCTTAAGTGTATGTTTGATAATGTAAAACCTAATGCAAATTAAAATAATAAATATCTCACTCAAAAAAAAGTTAAATATGTTATCTTTATTTTAGTAAGTAACTTCGTTTTATCATTAAGGTAATATTTTCCATTAGAACATAAAAATATAATCACCTAGTTGCTTGGCCTTTTTCTTTATAGATGCTTTTAAAATAGTTCTTCATTGAATACGATATGTTCATATACATATTCTTTTATTATTATTATTATACTTTAAGTTCTAGGGTACATGTGCATAACGTGCAGGTTTGTTACATATGTATACATGTGCCATGTTGGTGTGCTGCACCCAGTAACTCGTCATTTACATTAGGTATATCTCCTAATGCTATCCATCCCCCTCCCCCTTCCCCACAATAGGACCCGGTGTGTGATGTTCCCCTTCCTGTGTCCAAGTGATCTCATTGTTCAATTCCCACCTATGAGTGAGAACATGAGGTGTTTGGTTTTCTGTTCTTGCTATAGTTTGCTGAGAATGATGATTTCCAGCTGCATTCGTGTCCCTACAAAGGACACGAACTCATCCTTTTTTATGGCTGCATAGTATTCCATGGTATATATGTGCCACATTTTCTTAATCCAGTCTGTCACTGATGGAAATTTGGGTTGATTCCAAGTCTTTGCTATTGTTTATAGTGCCGCAATAAACATACGTGTGCATGTGTCTTTAGAGCAGCATGACTTAAAATCCTTTGGGTATATCCCCAGTAAGGGGATGGCTGGGTCAAGTGGTATTTCTAGTTCTAGATCCTTGAGGAATTGCCACACTGTTTTCCACAATGGTTGAACTAGTTTACAGTCCCACCAATAGTGTAAAAATGTTCCTATTTGTCCACATCCTCTCCAGCACCTGCTGTGTCCTGATTTTTTAATGATTGCCATTCTAACTGGTGTGAGATGGTATCTCCTTGTGATTTTGATTTGCATTTCTCTGATGGCGAGTGATGATGAGCATTTTTTCATGTGTCTGTTGGCTGTATGAATGTCTTCTTTTGAGAAGTGTCTGTTCATATCCTTCGCCCACTTTTTGATGGGGTTGTTTGTTTTTTCTTGTAAATTTGATTGAGTTCTTTATAGGTTCTGGATATTAACCCTTTGTCAGATGAGTAGATTGCATATATTTATTCACCATATTACATAAAAGGGTACAATGTGTCAAGCACTATATGAGATGATAAAGACAAGTTTATCGGAGAAAGGAGATGCAGTCACTGTTCTCTGGGATCATTCACTGGATCTGTTAAAGTTATTGTCTATTAGAAAATGGAAACTCTTCTCCATCGAGTGACTATTAATCTGAAAAAGCTGTGTCAGGGAGCCTCCCACATGTCATCTTCATTCTTATAAAAATCCTAGTAGGCATTGACTCCATACTTTAGCCACAATTAAAGTGAGTAATAACTTAAATCAGCCTAATTGAGGTATTCGCATACCAAAAAGTTATTTTAGACATAATAAATTGATTTTTTTGTGAATATATCATAGATACGACACCATCATGCAATCAAATTTTAGATCATTTATATCACCCCCAAAAGACTCTTCTGATTCCAGTTAATCCCTCTTCTCACCCCCATCCCCAAGCAGCTACAATTCTACATTCTCTATTGTGTTACCTTTTCTGGACATTTCATATAAACAGAATATGTAGTCTTTACAATTTGCATTTTCATTAGGCATAATCATTGGAAGTTTATATACTCAATACCGTGAATCAGTAGTTCATTATTTTTAAATAATGAATGGCATTGCATTTTTTGTGTTGATAAACTACATCGTGTCGTTTATTTACCAACTGATAGATTCTTGGATTGTTTCGACTTTTTTGGCTATATGGTTAATGTTGCTATCAACACTAGTGTAAAAGTATTTGCATGGACATCTGTTTATTTTATTTATTTTTTTCTATTGAGTAAATATCAGTAGTGGAATGGATGGATGATTCACATGGTAGGTATATATTGAAGTTCTTAAGAATCTGACAAACTTTTATCCAAAGTATTATCCAAAATGGTGTACCTTCTTACATTCCCACAAGTAACATAAGGGTACACATTTTATCCACATTCTCATGAACATGTTTTATTATCTTTCTTTTTTCATTATAGTCATTCTAATGGGTGTATTTAATATTTTTCTAATCATAAACATATTTAAATTAGTATATGAAATTTGAATATAGTCTATAGTAATAATTAAGAAGAAAGATCAAACATTAATATGCCAAAATATTAAAATTGGCTGCCTTTGGATTATAGAATTAATTTTTCTCTCTTTTTTGGAATTTCTGCATATTACTTTTTAGTAAGAAGTGTATATCTATTGACATAATAAAAAACTGATGAATGAAAGTAATTTTACAGCCAAGGTTTCAATCACTGAAGCCAGATTTAACAGTAAAGAATTCAGACAGCAATTGATATTAAGAATATGTAGATCCAGCATAACAAATGCAGTAGGAACACAGACATGAGAATAGGGGACATGCTGAGTTTGAACTGTACTTTCGTTCACCATTGGCCTCCATATCTAGCTCAACCCTTCTGCTGACAGTTTCTGCAAATCATTTTTAATACCTCTTATCCTACCATTTGCTAGATTTTTTTTTCCTTTTCTTGAGCTACATGTTGCTAATCAGTATGATTAATATTCTGGTGAGATTTCTTCTAATCATCTAAATTTCAGGCTATAATGGGCTTAACATATAAATATGTTAATTTTTACATTTTAATGACTAAAGATCTGTAATTTTATAATATACTTGTAGTCATAGAACCCTTTAAGAATCTAATAATAGCTTTGGATACCCTCTTAAGAAAAAAGTACATAGAAAATTTATTTGGTATATGGTTTGATGGGCCTTCTGAGTCAATCAGTGTGTCCTTAAAAAGATCTTAAATCAGTTTTTCATCATGTCCAGAGACAAACTTTGTTAGAGAAACCTGGAATGTGGTATTGAATTGCAGTTTCTTTAGCTCTGCTAGATCCCTAAATCAGTATTCCTAAAGTGAGGAATCTTCATTTTTTTACATGCAATTCTGAGAGTCTTAGATCTATTAGGATTTACAAATTGTTGACCTAGGTCCTGAAGTGTTATCCCTGAAGGAAAGAACAGAATTCATAACTGTTTTGGCACTTTGGGAACAGAGGAATCACAGACACATACAATTTGGGAAAGTCTAGAAAAAAAAATCCAAGAAATCAGAAATTACTCTGGAACTGACTTTATTTGATGTGGAAAAAACTTGAAAAGTATGCAGGATTCATCAGATCTGTAAGATTCAAGCTGATCTCACAATGGAACCCCCAGGGAAATCGTTGTTTAAGGGGACTTGCCAGTGAATTTTGACTTCCAAGTGATTTGGTTCACATAAATGCTGAGCATTCTCCCTCATGATTCAGACTCAGTTTTCCATTACTCAACCTGAAAAAAAATGAGAGAAATAAAGGATCGAGTAGTTGTAGCAGCATCATAAAGATAAAATCAGATTATTCAAAAATCACTTGGAAAGGAACAGACCTAAATGCTCGCTTGTGCGGTTTTCATTGACTGCCCCAAGAATCTGTGCCCTTTGAGTCAGTTCCTTCTCATCTCTGGGCCAGATGGCTTATCTATAATATGAGGGAAGTGGTGCCTAATGCTCTTCCTCATTCAAACAGCATGGCTACTGGGGACACTTAACTTTTAATTAATTTATTTCTGCAATAAGAATTTACAAAGTACTTACAAATTATAGAACTCTTGAAAACAAAACAAATATTCTTACATTATCCCCACCTTTCATAGCTGAACATTCAAAAATTCTAAAAGTTAAATTATCTAACATTTTTTAGCTGCATGTTACAATTTAAAACAGCTATAAAATTTATTTCTTTAGGTAGTGCGTAACTCAAAGGTTTGATTCACTCACCAAATCCAAACTTTGCTATTGTTATTTAGGATTAGCATGAAATTGAGAAGGCAACAATTAGTAATCAATTGGCTTCACAGTCCTTTTCATGCTCTGTTATGTTTCATTTGTCTGTCTTCTATTGCAGGAATAAAAACCTCATGAAAGCAGGGATTTCTGTGTTTTGCTTACCATTTTATGCCCAGTTCTTAGAGCACTTTCTGCTATATAATTGACATTCAATAAATATTTGCTAAATAAATTACTCAAAAGTAAACTTACTTCTACTTCAATAACTGAATAAACCACATTCTTCCAGGAATTGACTGAATTTACTGTTCAAGGTTTAATTTAAGTATCTTTTAGTTTTCTTTGGGCAAATAATAGCCTTGGTACTATTAAGAGAAAAATCCAGAGAAATGAAGAGTAATCATCTTTTATTCCCTGTGAAACAGAATAGCACTTCCTCATATAAAGAGATATAAAATCTTCTTACCACTTTGCTTCTTTAA